GCCCCACTTTTCCTATCCTATGTCTTTGCCTCAGTGGTACCCTTGGTTGGCTCCTGCCACCACTCCTCCTTGCGCCCCTTCCACCAGACCGCAAGCCCATTCTGTGCCTCTATCTCCAGCTCCTACAGCTAGAGCTCCTGAACCCCCTCTTGAAGATGTGGGCTATGAACCCTTCACGGATTTACTGGCTCCTGCCTCTCCATCAGCTGCAGATGAAGCCCTCATGCCTCCACCTCCACAAAATGTGGACGACTTTAAGCAATTCCAGGAACTTTTCAAGACGGTGGCACTCAGCCAGGACATTCCTTTGGAGGAAGTCCAGGAGACACAACACAGACTCCTCAAAATCCTCCAAACTTCTGTGCCCTCAAAGATCACATTACCCATAAACGAAGCCCTTCTAGAACCAGCTGATACTCTCTGGCAGACCCCTACCTTCATCCCACCAACATGCAAGAAGGCTGAATGTAAATATTATGTTCCCGCAAAGGACGTAGGTTTCTTATTTTCCCGCCCACAACCCACCTCTCTTGTGGATGCAGCGACACATAAAACAAAACAGCCACAATACTGGCCTACTCCCGCAAGACAAGGACCTCAGACGCCTTGACCTTTTGGGCCGCAAGGTTTATACCTCCTCCACTCTACAATTTAGAATTGCAAATTATTCCACCCTCCTCGCAAGCTATGACTACAACAGCTACAACAAGCTCTTTGATTTTGCCTCCCATATCCCGGTGGACAGGAGAGCGGTCTTCAAGTCTGTCCTTGTTGAAGGTCAGTTGGTGTCCGGGATGGCACTACAAGCATCCTTGGACATGGCGGACACAGCAGCCTGCACTACTGCAACTGCGGTGGTGGTGAGCAGGTCTTCCTGGCTGTCTGCATCCGGTATCATCAAAGTCGAAGATCTTTCCTTTGACAAAGATAAACTTTTCTCTAAAAAACCGACGAAGTCCTTCACACTATGAAAGACTCTAGGGCCACCCTGCAAACACTGAGCATATACCTGTCCCTCCCCAGGAGACAATGGTATCAATCTTATCAGAGGCGCCGCGCACAACAATATCACTGGCCCCAGCCCAGACCGTATGATATTGGGAGAAATCACAACAGACCTCCTAGGCGCAGACAAAACCATGTGCAGACAGATACCTCCCACCCATCGGGAAACAAACAGCAATTTTGAAGTGCTGGTCAGGGGTCTGCGTGACCACCCCTTGACTCCGCTGCCTATTTGCCCATTTGGCCACCACCTCCATGTTTTTTCCACCATGTCTGGCAGCAGGTCCCCCAGGACTGCTGGGTTCTGGAAATAGTTCAGTCAGGTTATTCCATCCCTTTTGTATCCTGCCTGCCCACCCTTCCCCCATTTTCTACAGCTACGTGCAGTGGAACCTGTACCAACGCAACTTCAGGGAAAAGGGTTCTACTCTCACTACTTTCTGACCCAAAAGAAAGGCGGGGGATGGCCTATACTAGACTCACGCCGACTGAACAAATTTGTACATGTACAGAAATTCAAGATGGTCACATTGGGCACAGTAATACCCGCACTGGAACAAGGGGACTGGTTCATAGCCTTAGACCTACAAGATGCCTATTTCCACAAATCCATTCATCCAGCACACAGATGCTTCCTACAATTCACACTCAGACACGACCACTTTCAATACAGAGTACTTCCATTGGGTCTCTCCACAGCACCGAGAGTATTTTCCAAGACCCTAGCTGTAGTCGTGGCCCACCCCCGCATACATGGGATTATACTTTCCCCCTACTTAGATGACTGCCTTATCAAAGGCTCATATGACAAGACATTAAAAGCGACGCATTTTACCATCTCCCTCTTCCACAGACTAGGCTTCCAAATAAACACCCAAAAATCCATCCTGATACCCACCCAGCAGATAGAGTTCATCAGAGCTCACCTGGACTTAATTCGAACCAGAGCCTCGCTCCCACACAACAGATTCCTTGCTATTACACATCTCATACGCATGCTCTCTGTTCGCCCCAGAATACAAGCACAGACCTGCCTACAGCTTCTTGGTCACATGTCAGCCACCATCTTCGTGGTCAGATATGCCAGGCTGCACATGAGATGCCTTCAGGGTTGGCTCAACTCCAACTACAAACCCAGCAGACACAGCTTCTGCATGATGCTAACTCCTCCAGCAAACATATTGTCCTCCCTACACTGGTGGACAAAACCAGAGAACCTATGCACTAGGGCTTTGGAGCTGTGCTCAGGCTCCACTCCAGCTCCAGGCAAAAACCTGCAGCTCCACTGCTCCGGAGCTGCTCCGCGCTCCGGCTCCAGGCTCTGCTCCAAAGCGCTGCTGTGCACGGGTGTCCCCTTCCATCCATACTCCCCAGTACTCATGCTCACCACGGACGCTTCCCTGATAGATTGGGGAGTGCACCTAGGGGAACACATGGCACAGGGCCACTGGTCCCTATCAGAGACACGTCTGCACATAAATCTTCTAGAGCTCAGAGCGGTCAGGTATGCCTGCCTTCACTTTCTCCCCATCATAAAGAACAAATCCGTTTGGGTCCTGATGGACAATATAGCATATATATTCTACATCAACAGGCAGGGGGGAGCACGATCGCACTCCCTATGCACAGAAGCCATCCGGTTATGGAATTGGTGCATACAACCTCACATAGAAATCGCCACTTCCTACCTGCCTGGGTGTCACAACACTACCGCCGACACACTCAGCAGACACTTCTCCAAGGAACACGAATGGGAATTGCATCCCACGATACTCTGGCAGCTCTTCTCTTACTGGGGTACCCTGTCGATAGACCTGTTTGCCACAACTCAGAACTGCAAATGCCATGTATTTTGCTCCAGAGTGGGACTCTGGAACGCATCCCTAGGTGATGCGTTCCTCATTCCATGGAACAAATCCCTCATGTACGCTTTTCTGCTGATCCCACTGATACACAGGGTTCTACGCAAGATCAGAGAGGACAAGGCCAGGGTCATACTTATTGCCCCAGCTTGGCCCAGACAAACATGGTACCCTTACCTTCTGCGCATGTTCATCCATCTTCCAACAGACTGTCTCCCCAACAGACGAGATCTGCTCTCCCAGGACAACAGTTCGCTTCTCCATCTGCAGCTCCAGAAACTCCATCTGACAGCGTGGTTCCTTCATGGTTTCAAACCCACGAATCAGCCTGTTCGGAGCAGGTCCAGTACGTCATCCTGCACAGTAGAAGAGACTCCACTCATAAGACTTACCTGCAAAAGTGGAAACGCTTCTCCGTATGGTGCTTCCACAGATGCTTGCCACCCCAGACCGCAACCCTCCCTGACATCTTAGACTACCTTTTGAAACTAAAACAAGACGGGCTCTCGCTCAGTTCTATCAGAGTACACCTCACGGCCCTCACCACCTTCCATGACCCGCTGGACGGATATTCACTTTTTGCCTACCTCACCATAAAACGCTTCCTCATGGGCCTGCAAAATCTCTACTCTAAGATTCATCCACCAGCAGCCTCCTGGAATCTCAACCTAGTTCTCCGAGGTCTCCTGACACCTCCTTTCGAGCCCCTGGATACCTCATCCCTGCTCCACGTGTCTATGAAAGTAGCTTTCTTGGTTGCCATAACATCAGTGAGAAGGGTCAGTGAAATAAGCGCCCTGATGGCCTACCCTCCCTACACGATTTTCTCCAAAGACAAGGTTACTATACAACCCCACCCCAAATTCCTCCCTAAGGTGGTGTCTACCTTCCACCTTAACTAGCCAATACACTTTACCTGCGTTCTATCCCAAACCTCATAAGACTCCACAAGAAGCAGGATTACAGACCCTTGACGTCCAACGGGCAATTGCATTCTATCTTGACAGAACTAAGCCATTTCGTAAATCCCCTAGACTATTTGTCTCTACTACTGAGAGGTCAAAGGGTGATGCTATCTCTAAGCAATGCCTCTCCAAGTGGATCTCTGACTGCGTCAGATCCTGCTACCAGACTCTGAATGCTCAACCACCCGAGGGCATCAGAACTCATTCTACCTGCCTTCCTATACAACATACATATTACAAACATATGCAAGGCGGCCACGTGGACATCTGACCACACATTCGCCAAACATTATGTTAGCACACAGGATACCATGGCAGACGCCATAGTAGGCCACACAGTACTGTCTATCTTTGTTACTGCCGCAACTCCAAAATTTCACCAGCCATAGTGGTACACATTCACATTCACCTGGAGTGGAGCACCCACAGGGACAGCACTCGAAGAAGAAGAGACGGTTACTCTCCTTGCAGTAACTGAGGTTCTTCAAGTTGTGTGTCCCTGTGGGTGCTCCACTACCCATCCTCCTCCCCTTTACTTTGGAGTACTAATCAGACAATTCTACGGTAGAGAAGGATCTGAGGGGGGTACAGGACGCCTAATGCTGCCACGAGACAGCAGCTGAGCGCGTGCATCCCAACCAGGCACTGCTACCGAAGATCTCCAATCAACGGCGCTGGGACTCACCGTCACCTGGAGTGGAGCACCCCCAGGGACATACATCTCGAAGAACCTCAGTTACTGCAAGGTGAGTAACCTTCTCTTTTTAAGTTTAAATCATGGCTAAGCATATTTGTTTAACTGGTGGAAGAAAATTGTTATGCTATTGCAGTGAAATAGGGAGAGAGAAATACATGCTCATTTAGTAAGTATTTCTTAGTTGATTTTTGTTTTGGTGTTTTACAACATTTATAAAAAGAACAGGAGTACTTGTGACACCTTAGAGACTAACATTTATTTGAGCATAAGCTTTCGTGGGCTACAGCCCACTTCTTCGGATGCAACCCACGAAAACTTATGCTCAAATAAATTTATTAGTCTCTAAGGTGCCACAAGTACTCCTGTTCTTTTTGCAGATATAGACTAACACGGCTGCTACTCTGAAACCTTACAACATTTATGTAGCATTAGAGTATGGATATTAATTTTTAACTTTTGTCTCACTTCCAGATTTGGCTTGAACCTATGAAACCTATTATTAAACAAGTACGAAGTAAGTGCGTATTTAATTTTTTTAAAGAGTTTTCCTTTAATTTTTCAGGAATTTAATTTGGTTTGTTTTCATAGTTGTTACTTGATTTTTTTTTTTTTAGTCAGGTTTGCTGGTTTTGTACTTGTCATTACTATAAATAGTTGATTAAATGTACATCTACAAACTCAAACCTTCAAGATGGCTTCAAGCCCTCTAATAGTATCAAAAATTTCTAGAATATATGCCATTCATAGTTTTACTACCATGTTGAATTACTGCATGCTTTGTGGGCTATTTTGAACTAAATGTAGATGTTTCTTTTTCTAGAAAACTAACTTGCTGCTTCCTCAGAGACCTAAATCTTGTCCAATGAGTTGCTCGCTATTTGTCCATAAGGTCTCCGTTCTGTGAGATGTGAATGCCCACTCCCATTCACTTAAGTGGAGGCTGAGTGTGTTCAGCGTCCCATATATGATTAAGCTCTAAGACAGCCAACAAATGGAAGACTTCTTTTCCTCCTTCTATCTAAACCCCAATGTATGGTTTGCTTTGATACAGTTAATTTACAAAATGTGACGATCTTGTGTTGTGTTAGACCACAAAACGATAAAGGACTCAATTGCTTCCATTGTGGTAACACGTAGTAGCCATAAACCACACAACCTTGATCTTGTTTCTTATGGACTCTGCACTAGGGGATTACATTCTTAACAGCTTTGAGATATCTTCTAAATGTGGCACGCCATCTCTACAGATAGTGTGTACCCAAACTTGGGTCTGATATCAACTAATGTCTGGAATGCGGGAAATCTAAAGTCCTTAGTTGTGTTAAGTTAAGCCATGACTAACGGAGCTGTTAAACCTGGATTCAGAAGACAGCTATCTATTTAGTTATTAAGGGGATATTTGGAAAATATTTTTTGGAAGGGGGAGATAAAGGGTTTGTATTTGGACTTGTAAACCTGATTCTGGATGGAACTTGAAATTACCGAGAACCTGTCACTTTGCAATGATATACATCTGGGTAGATTGGATCAGATGCTGTTAGATTTAGGTTAAAAGTATCAGTCACATTGTTGGAGCTTTGTTTAGCTTAGGTTGTTTTGATGTGGAAAGAAACAGGAATGTTCTACACCCATTATGTAGGAGGAGGACAGTCTCTGGAGTGAAATTGTTTCCAGTCTTTGCCCAATAAGGGAGAGTTGCAGCACTGACATTCTCTGCTTTAGTTTTCATCAAGGGCCCAAAAAAAAAGATGAAAATATATTGTGAGCCAATATCATTTGAAATCTAGCATGTGCAGCCTAATTCTTCAACTATGTACAAGACATTCCTCTTCTAGAACAGGGTCAAATTGGGTACTCATTTGCTGCTTCTAAATGTAGGGGTTCATGGAATCACAAGTGCAGGAATGTGTGGTGGATTCCCACTCCTGCCAACAATTTTATTGACTATGCTATACAGGGCCTTTCTGTAATAATTTTTGGAGTTATTTTTTTCTGTTGCTGACAGTAGTCTGCAGAAGCTTATGTTAATGAAGGAGGTCTTTGGCAAATGGCCCCAGAACATTGTTGAAAGTTAGTATTTGGAGGTTTATTTAGAAATTCTACAAACTAACCTGACCAACAAGAAATTGAGATGAATTGACTTTTTTAGCTTAAACCCATGGTGCAAGTTTTTAACTTTCATCCTCTTCAACCTTAGAAAAATAAATAAAAAGGCATAGTACTAGCTATAGAGAGAGGCTCTCCTGGAGAGGCTATCTAAGTTCATTGTTCTGTAGAATCACCAATGGCAAGTTTCCATTTTAAAGGATCATCCCCTTATGCATGCCACATGGTAGCTTTTGTGTATTCAAATGGTTTCTATCTTGGGAGAGGAGACTGTCTGGAGTGGCTTACGACTGAGTGTGCCAATCTCAGGGCAGATCGTCAAAAAGCAGGGCGGACAGCCCAAAATGGTTGTATGGTCTATAATTAGATTTCACCAACTCAGTAACAAATTTGAACTCCCAAAGTACTACAATAGGCATATAATGGAGTCACAGACAGATTGAAATGTCCAAGGGGACTATCTTGCCACTGCAAACTGGACTTACACCAAATGATAAATGATCACTTACACCAAAAAACACAAAATATTCAGGTTGCTTCCCATTCCAAGAGACCAGTCACTTACCCCACATCAATTTGTACCTTAGATCTCGCACTTAAAAAAAAATGTTGGTAGCCAATCCTGTAATAAATTAGCTAAAAGTTTAACTAGGAAAAGGGGATAAGAGAGTTATTTAAAGAGGTCAAAGCGTGTGTGTGTGTGTGTGTGTGTGTGTGTACACATACACACTACGTTTGTCTGTAGTTT